AAATTTTGGCAGCAGTATTATTGAAAACAATTAGATCAAGAAGGTACAACTGAGAAATAAAACCTCAACTACTAAATGCACAGGATAAAGACATGCTGTACAGGATAAAGACATTCAGTCATAAAAGTGATATTTATATTCAACTTATTGGTCCCACTAGAATTCTGTTTTTAAAATAGAAATATAAACACACTGCTACAGTTCCATTCAGATTTCATTTACTCAACAGAGAATGCTAAACAGCCTCACCGACTCAGACACCCTCAGTCATACAATTGCATCCATCTTTCCACTCTTGACTCAGAGCAAGGCTAAGAAAATGCACAGTTAGGGGCCTCCCTGGTGGCACAAGGCATTAAGTCTCAGCACTATGATGCTATCAGCAGCCACTACAGTAGGAATTTAATCCCCGCCTAGGGAACTAACCCACATGGCAGAGCAGAACTCTCCTGTATCACCTGCTGCTCCCCTCAGCAGTGTATTTCAGTCGATCTGCCGGTTCTGCTCCCCACTCTGTCTCTGGTGAGTCCTCTCACTCCCCCCTACCCCCCCCACACACACATCTCTGGCCTATGCCCCACTTCTTGGATGCATAAATAAAATAAATCTTAAAAAAAAGAAAAAGAAAGAAAGAAAGTGCACAGCTATCAAACCCAAGAAATAGGGCCTCCCTGGTGGCACAAGGGGTTAAGTCACAGCACTATGAAGCTATCCACAGCCACTGAAGCACAAGTTCAATCCCCAGCCAGGGAACTAACCCACATGGCGCAGCAGAACTCGCCTGTCTCGCTGGCTGCTCCCCTCAGCAGTGAATTTTAGTAGATCCACCTGTTCTGCTTTCCACTCTGTCTCTGGTGAATCCTCTCACACACACCCCACACCTCTGGCTCACACCCCAGCTCTTGTATGCATAAATAAATAAAATAAACCCTTAAAAAAAAAAATAAAGCAACAGCACAACAACATCAGCAGAAGCACAGAAACACATGGAGTATGGAGAAAACTTCCTCCAGAAAAGGAGGGAGAAATCCTTGACCAACACACTAAAGAACATACTACTTGAATTTATTCTCACCTGAGTTCCCTTTAATTTCAATACTCTTTAGACCCCATCTGGGTTCTCTCAACAAGCTCACACCAGCATTTCTTACTTCTCTGATACTCTGGAAGCTTCCAGCCCCCAAGCAGTAACACTCTGCAGTGCTCAAATCGAAACAACACACAGGGAAACCTGGCTATTTAGTCAAACTACCCATCACTGACTTCCTATGAAAGCTATAAAAAAGGCATGCCTCACTCTTGTACTTGTCCATCCACTAAAATGGTCTTGTCACCACTTACCATTCTCCTAGGTTAGTTGTACAGCTCTTATCAAGAAAGTTATGACCAAAAAGACAAACACATGTAAAGGGGCTCTGACTCCAGATCACCATGGGTCACCCTTAATTTGCCGTGAATAGGTCAAGTCTATGAGCCAATGGCAATTTTTCAATCAATCCAGCCTAAAGCCACATTAGCCCATCATGATTTTTAATCTCCCAAACTGTAGACATTTTAATATACATTGGTCCCCTATCCCACCAAATGGGTCCACAAATCATGAATTCTCCTTCATAAGTTCACTGGCTCCTCACTATTACTCTCTGCCATCCTGGCCTTCAATTACACCCCTGAGAGTTTCAAAACTGGTCTCCTGGCTTCTCATCCCTTCCTATCAGGAGCACTACCTTACCCTGAACTTCCAGGAGCTACCCCACTGGCCCAGCTCAGTCTGTTGCCCCACTTTTCCCCAGAGGACACTTCCTGTGCCTCCAGCCTGTCCACAAGTTGTCCTCAGACACAGCCTAGTCTTCGAGCCCCCAGTGGCCTTTTCTGTTCACCCAACCAGTCCCTAGTCTTCCCTGTCTGCCTCAAAGACTCATGCTTTCTCTTTCTGCAAGATAGGGATCCTTCTCTTAATTCTGAGCACTTGACTGATGTCACCTCACATCCACCTCTTTTCACTATCCGTACCTGCCCCTTCCATTCAAAGATAGATTGGAAACCCAATCTCCTTAGGTTACTTCAGCATGGTGGCCAGAGCAACCAGTACAGACCCCAGGAAGGCACTGGCAAACACTTATTTCTGAGAATGGTCCCTCAAAAGCTTATTCCTGTGCAGTCCCTCAACATCTCATCCATATATATCACCCCAGCATTCTGCCTACCTGGGCATGGTCTTTGCCAGAGAAGCACTCAACCAAGGCCACCATTACTAATTTGATACAACACAAATGAAGATGGGTACAGACAAATGTTCAACAAGGGTTCAAATCCTGGCTGCCACATGATGACAGCTGTGCGACATTAGGAACATTTCTTCATGTGTGAGTCACTTTCCTCAGTCAGTATAAAGGATTCTCATAAGTATTAGAATGGTGCATGTAGGGGGCCTCCCTGGTGGCACAAGGGGTTAAGCATCAGCACTAAAGCTATCTACAACTACTGCATCACGTGTTCCAACCCAGCCAGGGAGGTGACGCACATGGCGCAGCAGACCTCTCTTGTCTCGCCTACTGCTCCCCTCAGCAGCAGTGTATTTCAGTCAATCTGCCTGTTCTGCCCCCCATTCTCTCTGGTGAATCCTCTCACCCACCATGCACTTCTGGCCTGTGCCCCAGTTCTTGTATTCATAAATAAATAAATCTTTATTTAAAAAAAAAAAAGAATGGTGCATGTAGAGCAGAAACACAGAAGGCACTTGTCTAGCTGATGTCAGTCCATCACATCACTGACCCAAGAGAGCAGGAAAAGCAGAACAGTGTGAGGTAAAGGACTGAATATTCGCTCATCTGTCTCAACAAGAGTGAACAGTGAACACACATCTACTCTGCAAAGTTTATACCAATCATGCCCCAAATTTAAGTGAGATAAAAGCTTTTATCAATCAAGCGCCATGCCTAAAAGCAAACAAAGAAACAAATAAACCCAGTCTAAGTAGTCCCAGAGTCCTTCCAAGCCCCACCATTCTCAACTCAATATTTAACAGACAGCAGGAAACTTACAGAAAAGGTGATTTAAATCTTCGGTTCAATGTTTAATCTTCTGGCCCACACACTTCTGAATGCTGGCTCCTCCCCCACCCACAGCTTGGCATCCCCTCTGTTCAATCTTTTCAGCCTCTCTTCTCAGATGACTCCTCATACCTCCTCTACTGGCTGACTTTACAGCTAGAGGTCCTAACACCCTCAGCTCTCCCTGCCTTTACCTACATGACCACCAGCAAGATTTTTCCAAACACAGCTCTGAACCAAGTCATTCCACTGAATAAAAGACTTCCCAGGCTCCAGCACACTTAATATGAAGTCTGAACTCCTGCGCACATCAAGAAAGGCCCAGGGTTCCCACCTGTCAAGCTGGAGTACTCACAGGTGCTATTTTAGGCACTCATGTCTATGTGGTTCCTTATGTTTGGACTTTGCTGTCCCCCAGCTAATTCCTGCTGGCTCTGAAATCCCCAGTTCAGGAATTCCCTCTCTCCTCAGGCTCCCAAAGCACCAAGTGAGCACACCTAGTGGGCAGACACAATCAACCATAGCTTCCCCAATCCCAGCTGAATTCCTCAAGGACAGAACCAGTCTCTCTTACATGGGCCTCTGAACCTACTACAGAATTTGGCAAGTAGTAAAGCTGAGTATTTGTTAAGTTAATAAAATGCATTTTGCCAACTCAATTTTTCAGAACAGTGAAGACTTGCCCCGTGCTTCTTTTCATGTTCCAACCAGGTATTTGTTGCCCCTATAATACTACCTACCCCTACTTTCATATAACATTCCACAAACCTTGAAACAGCTCATATTGTGCAAGAAACACATTCCTCCTATTTGGAACTCCAAAAACTCCTCTACCGCCTTAAAAACATACATCATGTACTATCCTATTATTCGTTGGATCCATGGCAAAGTTCAATTCAACTTCTCCAAATTCAAGCTATAGATTTGTGTCTTCATGGGTGAATTTTTTTAAAAACAGGGACAAAATCATGAACAACAAAATCTTTGAACACGAAGTAACTGATAAAGCTACTTCATCAGTAATTCTATTCCACGTACACCAGACTCCAAAATACCTGGTAGCACATCCAACTCTTTATCTGGACAAACGTCCTATAAACACCACCCTCCCTGCGCGAAGTCTGGGTACCACGCCAGGAATCACTTCCACTCGCTTATTTAGGAAACTACCGGACGGGCTCTTAAGTTAGAACTCTAGGCTACCAAGGTGCTGTCCCAGGCTCTAGCTCTCACTAAGGAAAATCTTCTTGATCACTGTTGCAACTAACGCTGAAGTCAGTTTACAAAACCAAAAAAGCTTCAAGTCATAGAAACTAAATCCTGCATTTCAAATTGAGTTTATATGAAATCAACTTCGAATTGATGGCATAAGGATTCTAACCCGAGAAAGCATTTCTCTGGGGACATTTCCAAATATATCCACGGGTGAATTTGGCTTTGGAAACACCAGTGAAAAGGTGAAAAGGTAGTAAGTTGGTTTCCAAAGAAGCATAAGGGGGGAAGAGGCCGACCGCAAGGTTCAAAAGAGCTCAGGACCCAGCGGCTGCAGTGTCCCCGCCCCGGGCCAAACAGTCTCCGGCTCCAGCCCGACCGGGCCGCGCGACCCTCTCCGCCAGCCCGGGAGGCAGCCCGCAGGCCCCACACGCCCGCGGCCGACGCGCAGGCCCGGCGTTCCCAGGAGCGCGGGGCGGGCTGAGGCCTGGCCCCTCGCCGAGGCGCGCAGCCCGGCCGGGCCCCTGTTCGCCCCGAGCCCTCGCCAGCGCAGCGAGGAAGAGGGCGGCTCTGCCCAGGCCACGCCGCCGCCTCAGCCGCAAGGACGTCCGCGACGGTGTCCCCGCCCCGGCCAAGCAGCGAGCAGCAGCAGGTGTTCCTCGGGAGGCTCGGACGGCGACGGGGATGGGGGCCCGGGCGGCCAGCTCGGCGACAGGGGTCGGCCGGCCCACTCACCGAGCGCCGGCGGGCGGGCCGCGGCAGGTGCTCCCTCCTCCCGACTGCCGGAGGCGGCCGCCGCCGCGCCGCCGCTCCCCGGGGACTCGGCGCGAAGCCGCCGCCGCCGCCGATCCCGAGGAGCGCCGCACCGCAGCCACCGCGCGAGCACGTACCGGGCGGTGAGAGGGCGCCGAGCGCGAGGGCGGGGCGCGCGGCCGGAGCCTAGCAACCGCCTGACACGCGAGTGCCGCAGCCAATCCCGCGCCCAGCTCCGCGCGGCGCCGACCGGCAGTCCGCGCGACTACCGCTTCTGCCTGCGTCGGCCGCCCGCAGCGCGCCGCACCCGCGCGCAGGCCCCGCCTCCGCCCGCGCAGCGCTGCTCATTGGCCCGCCACGCCCCGGCCCGAGGACACGCCCCGTCCTGGAGGCCCCGCCCCGCGGCCGGCCCGGTCTGTCCCCGGGACACGCCCCGACCCCGGGTCGCCCGGGGAGTTCAGGATCGAAGTGGAGGAGGGGCGCGTTGGCCTGAGAGGCGTCGGGCCAGCCCGGGGTGGTCACGCTCGAGAACTGGCCCCGCCACCATTGGCCACCCATCTACTGTGTTCGACTCACTTCTCTCGCACGCAAAGCAAGGGCTGTTTGTAAGCTCTCAAAACAACCAGCAAGCGTCCTTTATATTGCGGAGGATGACGGTCTTGTTGCCCGGCCCTTACAGGGATGGGGAGACCGAGGCGAGGGAGTGACTGACTCTGTGGTCCTAGGCCCCTGCTGGCGGGGCGCCCCAGGACTAACCCTTGTCCCCTCCCCCTAACACCGGAATCCGGAATCCGAGCCTCCTCGGCCAGCTGCCTAAAATAGCTCTGACCCGCTGGCTCCAGTCACTCACTTCTTGTGGCCCGCATTCTTTCTGAGAGTGGGGGAGTAAGGGACAGGAGCTACTCTAGAGATCCTTCAGGGGTAGGATCCTAAAGACGAGCGCCTTCACCTCTCCCCTCCTCCCTCCTGTCCCCCACCACAGGGCTACCTGGGGCCGGTTAAAGGCCTGGTACCTGACAACTAAAGGAACTGAGCCGTTTCTGCAGGAGTCTGGGGATGGGACGCGTGGTGGTCTCTGCTCCCTGTGTCAGCCCCTGCACAGGATATGCCTATTCCCTCCTGTGGCCGGGCTGGAATTGCCATGAACACATTGTAAACACAACTAGTTGCTCGGATGGGGAGGCCTCCCCTCTCTGAACTCCCAGCGTCCAGATAGTTCTGGGGATCTCTGCTTTCTCCACTCCTTAGAAGCATCTGGGAGAACCACACATTTCAGAGAGAGCAGAAGGAAATTCTCCATGTCCCAAATACACATATATTTAAATGCTACAAAGCTCATTCACATAACTTAGAAAAGAAAAACCTGGGGCCTCGCTGGCACAAGGGGTTAAGCACAGCACTGTGAAGCTATCCGCAGCCTCTGCAGCACAGAGTTCAAACCTGGGCAGCCAGGGAGCTGACCCACATGGCATAGCTGACCTCTCCTGTCTGGCACTGCTCCCCTCAGCAGTGTATTTCAGTCAGTCTGCCTGTTCTGTTCCCCGCTCTATCTCTGGGGAATCCTCTCACCACCACCACCACCACCACCACCACCATCCACCTCTGGCCTGTACCCCAGTTCTTATATGCATAAACAAATCCTTAAAAAAAAAGGGAAAGGCCCCAAATCATCCCTTAGATGTTAAAACTGAAAGATTAATGACCTCTCAAACCTAGCTCTCAAATTCTGCTTTGAAAAGGCAAAGAATGCAGAAAGTCAGAGTCTCTAAACAAAATGAGTGAATTTTCTTATTCACTCCTTCAGTTTATAGAGTCTCTTCCCCACCCCCCAAACACACACACACTAGGCACTGCTTTGCAGCCCTAGATTCTGCTAGGTATTTTAGTATCTAGGTAGGTAGGTAGGTAGGTAGATAGATAGATGATACTCTATATCTATATGTATATATTATATGTGCATTGTATTATATGCATGTATATATGTATATGTGTGTATATGTATATATGTATGCATGTGTATATATTTATATATGCACATATAGTGGATACTGGCCTCATGAGACACCTCCCTCCTGCCATCTGCACAGAATATGCTCACCACTCTTCATTCTTCACTGACCATCCACGGATGTGAGAGTAGCTCCCCTTCTTCCTTTCTGGCATTGGACTTGCTAGGTGAGACACCAAACTTCATTCTGGCCTGCAAGGACCCAGCATCCCATGCCCAAGCAAAGCTCTAACTAAGGGAGGATCTCCATTTCAGCTACCAGAAAGTGCAATAGGGCCCTATTGCCAGAAGGTGCAGTAGGGCCTTCCCCATCCTCGAAGGGTACGACAACCAGAATTAGCCTGAAGTCCTTACAGCCAAATCCTTTCCAGTCCCTACCTCTCCAAGTTGGGTCAGTTGGAGGTTCTGTAGCCCCAGACTGGCCCTGATGCTCTCTCCCTCCCCTGCCTCCAACCTTGGCAGATCTCTCCTGTTTTCCTCTGCCCAGGCCAAAATAACTCTGACCTCTGGCCTTATTGCTCTTTTTCTTCTTTTTTGTCTGGAATTATTCCTTTGGACCTTAGCATGTAGGAGACCTGGCTGGTCAGAGCTGGACCAACTTTTTGGGGGTTAACCAGCCCCCTCTTGAGCACAACCAGTCCCCATGGAGCCCATAGCAAAGTAAAAAGTGAGGACAGCTGTCTTCATGTGTCCCTAGGTTGGGTGGGGGCTGTATCATGAGAGTCAAATCCTTTTATCTTCCAGGAAACTGAACAACCCACCCCAGGTATCAGCCCCAAATCACCAGGGCTCTCCTTTAGGAACCATTCTGGAATCCCAGCGGGGTCTAGGCCATCCTAAATCAGGTTTGCTGCTCACAGCCAGTTGGAAGATACCAAGAGCTACTACTCTGAGGTTCCATGTGGTGTGAGCCTGGGTAGAACTAATCAGGAGATCATGGAGAATGGTGTTCTTCAAGCCCAATGGTTTCTTCTGCTTCCTCCACTTAGACCAGGAAATCTTCTCATTAAGGTTTGTCTCCCCCATTGGAGCATGAACTCTTGAAGCCAGAAACCAATCAGCTTTGTCACTCATTTCAACCATCACCTAACAGCCTACACATAGCAGAGGCTCAATTTCTGTCTGGAAAAGAAAGAATCGGGGAATGCTACATGCCTCACTTCCACTTGCTGGAAATCATCCCTAAGGGTCCAAGCCCTGAGCAAAGCCCAAGTGCTTACTTGGGGTTGATGTGATTTATGTTAAAGACCTTGGTTTTAACTCATACAAAATTCAACAGACACCTACATGGACCAAACTTCCCTCTGGTCTAGGGATTCCAGGACTTCTTACTCTGGTATATTCCCAAGGGCTAAACGCCAGTGCCCAGCCTCAGACTCTTTCAGTCCGAGGGAGGCCCCAGCTGCTGATTTTGTCCCAGGCTAATGGAGAGGGACAGGAGTTAGAGCTGGCTGAGGGTGGAGGCTCTTAATCCAAATGCAGAGCCTTCAGGTCTGCCTGGGGGCAATGGGCTGACCAGCAAAACCAGCCAAGTCAGGGCAAGGGAGGGGTCCCTTTTGTCTGGATTTAACAGAAGGCAGTTTGTCTGGCAATTCTGGCAGAAAGAAAGGGCTGATAAGTTCATCCGGGAGAAACTGCCAGCAGGCGTGTTTGTGGGTCACCACCAGCCTTCCAGAAACCAGTTCCTTCCTTTACAGGGCCCTCAACTTCCAGACCCCTTCAAAACATGTCTGATATATGGGCCTTCCTCTGTTAGCCAGGCAATAATCTCCACCTCTAGCCCTCCAGAGACAGGGGACAGGAACTCCATAGGAAGAGTAAGTGTTAGTTATATGAATATAAGTCCCTTCTTCCCCCTGGACAGACACATGTCCACTGACTCCTCCATCAGCCACATTCCACTCCCTGCTAACTCTGAGATAAGACAGTCCCCCAAGGTCGACTTTGGGTGACTGTTCTCAAAACACTGGATTTGTAACCTTGAATACTGGACTAACGCCAAGATTAGGTCTGGTCTGACCTGGCAGCCAATGGAAGCAAGCAAAGCTGAGGAGCAAACTTGCTAATTCTCTTTGGTAGCTGACCAGTAAGCCCCTAAACATGGAGTTTTAGGGGAAGCCACCTACACTAATCTGGTTCAACTGGATTGAGAGGCACTTCTCTGTTCTTAATCATATGTCCATGCCTGGCTCAGGGCAAGGCCAGAGGCTCTTCCAGTGCAGAGATGCCTTTTATTTCAGAGCTGACCTGTCTCATCAACCTGGGGTCCCCTTGGAGTCCCCTCAGTCAAGATACATGGATGGGCTACCAAACAACAGCTGATTCTGACTCTGTTATTAAGGCCGACAGGAAAAAAAAAAAGTCAAGGGTCCTCCCTGGTGGCACAGAGGTTGAGTCTCAGGGCACTGTCAGGCTTTTGCCAGCCTGGGTTCTGATCCCCAGGTAAGAGCTAACCCACATATATAGCGCAGCAGGCCTCTCCCGTCTCACCTGCTGCTTCCCTCAGCAGTGTGTTTCAGTGGATCTGCCTGTTCTGCTCCCCAACTCTGTCTCTGGCAGGTCCTTCTCAGCCTTCCCCCAACAACACCTCTAGCCTGTGCCCCAGTGCTTGTATGCATAAATAAATAAATCTTTAAAAAAGAAATAAAGGTTAAAAGAAAGGGGGGGAAGACAGTAAATAATCAGATAGTTATAAAGGGATGGGGGGGGCAGGGAAAGAGATCAGGATGTACTGGGTATTATAGTTCATCTGAGAAGTCCTCCCTTGGAAGGGAGGACTGCAGGAGGTGAATGAGAAAGTTCTGGGACTTCTTAGGGAAGGAGAGGAACAAACCTAGGGAATGGTCTGAGTGAAGGCAGAGGAAGAAGTGCTCAGGCGTGGGGAACCCTGAATATTGCCATGGCCTAAGCAGTGAACGGAACAGAGATGGTGAGAGGGCAGGCCCTGGGGCTGGATTTAACCAGGCAGGGTTTATGAGATGTATAGGATCCCAGGAGCAAGGGTCAAGGAAACTAAAGGGGGATGAAATGAGAAAGGGAGTAGGGAAGTGCCCTCAGGCCTCCTGGGAGGAATGTAGCTTGGTGAGGAGAGCGGGGGGGGGGGGGGGGGGGGGGGGCCTAGGAGCCCCTCCTTCCCCTGGTAGGTGGAGAAAGAGAAGCGTGAGAGCAGGCAGGTGTAGGGCAGAGATGGGGGTCCTGCGGGGGAGGGCACTGAAGTCAAGTCAGAACAAGCATCTAGAGAGAAAA